TCTGGACCTATAAAATATCTTTGATCCCAATACAGGTCCAGGTCCTGGTGAGCGATCAAACAGTAAGGAGAAGAATGCACAAAGACAGCCCTCATGCTCGTAGATCACTTGGGATTGCAGCACTACGACGAGGCGATCGCAGACAAAGATTAAAAACGAGCATACGAACGTTTGACTTAGAATATTCGCCAGTAGTCTAGTCTGTCTCAGATAAATTCTGGCTTAGCCTCCTATTCGCTTATTCCCGTCCATATTATGGAACAATAATGGTAGGGAAACATCACAATACCTAAGAAATCGTTAGGGTACAAGGCTCTGGATCATGTTGTCCGACCATACCGAATACATATGGGTCAATATATTATGCTTGTGCATGGCTGTGGCTACATAATGTGGCAACCCTGAACTGGCCCGCCGAATCCCCAACTTTAAATATATTTTTTTCTTAAAAAAACGTTAACTAATAATGTTAACTTACACTAGGATTTTCTCCTGTATCGTGAATACATAAATTTCACAAGGACGAATATGCAGACCCGAAACTATTATTTGTAGGCCATACAAATACTTGTTTCATGTGAGATTCGAACCCGTGGCCCCCAGTACCGCAACTTATTACTAAGCCACTGCGCTACGGAGCCATCAAATCAAATCCGAATCCATGCGTGGTATAAATTTCAACGAAGGGCTTTACAATATTTTCCCGACAATCTGGTGACAGAATGTGAAATTTTATGCATCTTCGTCGTACCTAAGACCATATGCCACAAGGAGATATTGATAACCTAACTTTGAGTATGAATAATCGTAGCAGATGCGTTATTAACATCCAAGGTGCTTTTTAGGATTAAAAAAGTTAAAAAGTTAAATTTACAGCCTATATACGTCCCACTGCTGGGCACAGGCCACCTCTTATTTCTGAGAGGATTTTAGGGCAAGGAAATGTCCGCCGCGCTGCCCCAATGCGTGTTGGCGAACTTCACATGTCTTAGAAATATTTTTTTCTTATTTCTCAGACATGCAGAAACCTGCCGGAAACCCTCACGATGTTTTTCTTCACCGCCGAGCACGTGGTAAATCAACACTTAAAATTGCAATTAACAATTTCCTTGGTGCCGGCGGGGATCGAACCCGGGTTGCTCGCGTACTGTGAAACTTACAGCGAGTGATAACCATCTGAGCTACCACGGATTTTAGGATTATTAATTTTTAATTTTTTAACCAATCAAATGATTATTTAATTCATCAATCTTTCTTCAAGTCTTTCTTCAATCACTCAAAGAGGAAATCTTATTTTATGAGCAACTTTTTATTTTAACTATGAAAGCCTTTTTAAATAACAATACTTCCTGTTACGTGTATAAAATAATGCGTATTTTGATAACAATATATAAATAACTACAATAGACATATTATCTATGTATATCTTATCTTTGGCTTCCATAAACATTTAAAATATTTTCAAGATATATTAATTTACCGACCGGTGAAGGGAAGCAGCGTTATATTTTTTTTATAGGATAGGGTGACAAACGAGCACACAGTCCACCTGATGGTAAGTGGTTGCTGTGACCCATAGACATTATACGTGGTAGAGCCATGCTGCAGCTATATTAGTAGTATAGTTGTAGCACGAATGGGTCGGCTCGACCGGGGAAAGACCACGCTCTCACAGAATACCAGCGTAAAATAGCAGCTTAACGCTGTTGTGTTTCATATGGTGAGTGTAGAGAACCGGAAACCCTTTTTACTGGAAGCGATGCATTCCATCTCAGTCTTCACGGGTGACAACGCATCTGCATTTTGATTCGTCATCGAGGATAGATGTAGATGTCTAAGTGCCACAGCAACCACTTACCATCAGGTGGACTGTGTGCTCGTTTTTCACCTTTATCCTATAACAAAGAAAAACACATTTTAGCTCAGTTCCGAAAAACATCAACCTAAGCACTTACGATTATTTATTAATCGTGACTGGGTGTCGATCGGCCACAATGACCTATCTATTATACTCATATTTGTTACTCTTACCCCTTATGTTCTCATTTTTTTTAAAAAAACATACGCTAATTATCACGATAAAAACTTACCTTTTTAATACGCTTTACTTTTTATTTTTCAGGCAAAATCATAAAAACTGTAATGACCTTTAGACCGAATTTCGGTTGTGGCGGCCCGTCTCAACGGAGACTAGCCATCTGCGACCACTAGATCAACGAGATCAGTCATATAAAAACTACTTAATGTTATGTTACTCTACGACTCTATAACCTGTAGCTTTATTCCTGAGAATAATCAAAACACACTATTAACTGGAGGCAAAACAAGATTTTATTAATTTATCTTTATCATTAAACCTTTTATTGCATATTGTTTCAAATTATAACTAAACCAATACCTGTCACAAAAATATACTCAATTCGCTCCTTTGGCCAGTCGCGGCGTGTAGGCAGATTGGTCTCATAATCACGCGACAAGCTTCCATATTTATTTAACCAGTGGCATGTGACTTACCGGTTTCGAACGGGTGGGCCGCTGAATCGTATGTTAATTTCAATAGAATCTATTGATTACACTTGATTGCTACTCGAAGCCACGTATTTTTGCATGCTAGCGATCTTTAGACAGTTCTAATAAAATTAAAGTTACAGTCTACTATGTCCCACTTCTGTACACAGGCCCCCTCTCATTTCTGAGAAGGTTCTAAGACAGTTGTAATAATGTGAAAATAAAAATTATACTTACCTTTATGTATGCATGATGACACTCTCGGATAAAGACAATTAATTACGTTCTTCTAAAAGAAACAGTGCAACCTTGATGCAGAGGCTTATTTCCGGGTTTCGAACTTCCAGCCGCTACCGATCGCCACGTCTTTCGCGCTGTACCTACTTTGTTGCATTGAGCCATATTTTTATTTTATTGGCGTACTCTCAATTAGTACTTTTGTTTTTAAAAACATAACCATTCAATATAAGTAGTATCACGAATGGTTAAAATTTGACCATTTAATTGGTTAACAACCACTTAATTTTACCTGCCTTAACTGCAACATTTTTTGCACATCTATGGCAGAGTACCATTCTTTAGAATGATATAGGTTTTATTACACCCCTTTTGTAATAAATTAAATACTAAAACGTTCATTGTGTACATTTGATTACGGCCTGATACTACGAGCACATTTTGCGCATCTAGGGTATATATAACTATGTATATATAAATATAATTCAGTCATTTCAACGTAAATTAAAATTACTTTTGACATAGCCAATACGAATAAAAAAAATATCTTCGTACAAGTCAACGCTAGTGTCCTTGCGCATTTATTTTAACTGGTTCCTGTAGCATACCGCTTGTGCTTGTTTTAACACGTCGGATGAATATCGTTAATAAATGTGTTTACAGTATAGGCATGGATGGATGATTATTTATTGCATTTAAACCCGAAATAGAAAAAGGGAAACCTTATGAAAATGACGATGTAACGATCACGTTAGTTTACCTACATAACGCTTGTAATGCATTTCAATTATTGTATTATATTGTATGTTGCCTAATTTATTATTTATTGATACATTTAAGTCATATCACATCTTTTTTTATAGATGAGGGGGCAAACGAGCATGCGGCTCACCTGATGGTAAGTGACTACTGCCGCCCATGAACAACCGCAACACCAGGGGAAATGCAGATGCGTTGAAGGCCTTTTAGAAAGGTTTCTAATTTATATATATATATATATATATATATATATATATATATATATATATATATATATAAAATATAGATCTTCTTCATCATCATATATCATAGGTATTTTTGAAACATTTTTAACAAAATTTATAATTCAATTTACGGCATCTCAAAAATATATATTAATCTTAAACATATCTGAGAAAACTGTTTCCAAACGATGTTTTTGAAATATTTTCTCAATATAAAAAAAGGTAAATCAACCTGTTAAAATGACCTTCCACCAAAAAACTCTGTATATAACTTATCAACCTACGTAGATAGAACTGATAAGAATAACGTATCATATTTAAATATAAAAGATTGTCGTTTTTAATTTAGATTACTAAACTTATTTTATAGTAATTAATTGTGTTAGGTTTTGTAATAGGTAAGTTATAAGCGTCGTGTTATCTCGCTTCTCCTTATTTTCTATGCAACCCGACAGTAGGTATACAACTAACTAGCTGTTGCTCATCAGCGTATTAATCGTCACGCTTGGCGGATGGTTTGACGATCACAATATAATTATTATTATTATTTATTGAACACAGAATTAACAGTAATAGACATCTCGCACCTTTATCGCTGCACCTCGACGATGGTCTTCGTATTTTACACTTAACGGTCAGCCACCGTAGTGTCTACATCACCTGAGGATGCCTCGTGTAGAGGCGAAACACGTGTCGTATTGTCGTTAGTGGTGTGACTTTCATAGTGTAGTGGTGTTGGGAGTAGTGGTGCTGGGATTAGTAGTGACGGGGACAGTGCATTGAGGGAGGGCGGGAAGTGCTCTTCATACTAGGTAAGACACATCATTTTATTTTATAGAGCGGATGTTGCGAAGTAACTTTTTAAAACCTTTCGTGTTTTACGCCTGGCGTTAGTAACTGGTTATACCGCCATCTATCGAATACTACTTACACCTTCCGTAAAATAACAAAATTAGCCTAGTATACTTTCATTTTAGAAACAATAGTAATTACCGAAAGATTAACCTGGGTAAATGTACACAAACAATAATTATAACAAAAATTCAAACATTGCTAAAATACTTTATTATGTTTCAGCAATATAATTTAATGTATTAAATAATGAGTAAGGCATTCACGTGTTTTTGATGCGACTAATAATGATTAATAAGTTAATTAACAATATTATTAAATACAAGCAGTAAGCATACTCCGAGATTAATAGTCAAACTCTGTTACAATTCTTTTACAATTTCTTTGGGATAAACAGGAGAGAACAACTATGTTATTACATTATGTTTGCACATCTAAATTAGAATCATTATTGTTAACGATAATGTTTGTATTATTACTATTATCTTCAACGTCAGTCTCTAAATCGTTCGTAGGTGTCACATCCACTGAAGTAATATTAGTAGCACTATTTGATTTCGACGCGGCCTCATTAGCCTCAGGTACAGTTTGCACTACAAATTTTGGTACTTCAATGGAGATGACTTCGTTATCACATTCTTTAACTGACTCGGGTACTTTGTTTTCCTCAAGGGGTCTAAATATTTCTTGAAGTGAAGACACTTTCTTCTCTGTGGGAATTATTCTATTAAGGTACAATAAAATATCAGACAACGAAACAATTCCTATTAACTTATTTTCCTTATTTACTAGTAATAATCGATGACTTTCAGTTCTAACTATTACTTCTAAGGCCTCGTAAAGAGTAATACTTGAACGACATTTTTGTAACTTTTCCTCCCAGTCTTTCTTTCTGTTCCTTACTTCACCAATAGTTAATGACAAATTAAGATATAATTTATCGCTTACTAAGTTCAAAACTTCATATTTTGCATACACGTCAATAAGGGTTCCATTTTCATCTAAAATCGGTAAAGCTGACACGTCTTTTTCTAATAACAACTGAAATGCTACTTTAATACTAGTGCTTTCGGTAACAGACAATATCTCGTCATAAGTACCAATTTTTAATTCTACTAATGTTTTATGGAAAAAAGTTAATTCAGGGAATTCGTTCAAATATACAAACAAAAATCTTAGTATTCTCTTATGAGATAAAATGTACAAACCATCTCCAGTGAAGGGATCTATCATTAAAAGGCGATGGACACGATTTTTACTAAGTAAATTTATAGCTTCGTGTAATGATTGGTCGGGACCAACACTACATAACGGTTTTCTCGTGGGTCGTAATATTTTTTTCCAATTATGTAATGTATGACGTTCTAGATCTTCCATGGATAAATTTTCTGCATCAAGATGCAAAAGAATTCTAATAAAATCGGTTACCGTAATCATACCTACCAGTAACTTCTTGTTAGCATCCCACAACGGCGCTGACCTGATGCCATGTGATACGAGTGTGGGAAAAGTTTTTCTGACTGGAAATTGTGTATCAAATATAATAACTTTTGCTGACTTGGGTAATATTTCGTAACATTTATGATATTTAAAAAAATTTAACAAAAGTCTAGTTTTATCTCTTCCTCCAACAGATATTTGCACAATTGATAAATAAGGATCATATTTAGGTAGTCCACGAACTTCTCTAAATAACTGTTTCGCCTGTGCCGGCTCTAGTGATGCATATGAATTTTTGTGATATGTTGGTGATGTAGTTTCTATTGAAGATCGGCGCATTTGTTTTGCAATTTTCTTTTTCGTAGCATCTGCAGGAGATTGATTTTGTTCTGGGTGTGGTTTATTTCTAAAAATATCCATTACCCTTGTAATTGGGCTAAATTTTCTAGAAGAAACCCCTGTTACTGTATGATAATATTTCTTATGAGAATCTTTCGATTCTTCTGAGCTTTTCTCATCTTTAGACGATTCGTCAGTATCGGCCGACTTCGAAGTTGTAGGGTTATTTTTGACGTTTTGTATAATATTTTGATGTTTTTTTGAGTCACTTTTTCTTCTTAACCGAAATATATCAAAAATAGAACTTCGGGGACTAGAAGATGTACCGTGAAATGTTTCATATTCTTTTCTGTTGCTCGAATCTCTCTCCGCGCTTGACGGCCTAGAACTTTCAGCAGATTTTTCTTTAAAAATTGATCGTACATGAGGTCTTTGAGATTCCACTCCTCGAGTGCCGAAATGTATTGTATGCACATTATTGTGGGCTACTCTTTCAGAGGGGATGTTCTTTTCATCAGATGTAGATAATGTAGTGACGACAAATCTTTTTCTTTCGCCTACCACTGTTTGACTTTCTTTCTGCGTCTCAACTTGGTGCCTTTTTTTCTTGTGTTTTTGCTTTGATTTCCCATGTTTGGAGGGTGACTCCGATGTTGCAGATTCATTTTCTAAAATTGGATCCATTTATAATATTTAAATAAAGACTCAATACCTTTATTATGTATCATTATCCGGAATAGAAGATGGTGACACCTGGAAAAAAATAAAAACATATTACATCTTTTATGTCAATAAATGGATATTATATAAACATGAGTAAGAATATAAATAATGGATTATAACGAAATAAACTTTAATCACTCCTTTATATTTTTTCTGTAAATAATATAATCAAAGGTATTGTTTTAAAGAGATACCTATCGGTGATTAAAAATAATTAGTGTCATAAAAAAAATTGTGCAGGAGGTGACTCGGACCGTTTCAGCAGTTGACTTGTGATGGACTGAAATAATGATGATGACAATGATGTGAATTATGTGTAATATTCTCAAAGCATGTCAATATTAACTAGCCGATGAATGCTGCTGTTTCGTATGATGAGTGTAGAGATCCGGAGACCCTTTTTACTAGAAACGAAGAGTTGCATCTTAGTCCTCACGGATGACAACGCGTCTGTATATTGATTCTTTATCAAAGATATATGTAAATGTATGCCACAGCATCCACTTACCATTAGGTGGAATGAGTGCTCATTTGTCGTCCTTATTCTACAAAAAAATATAGAAGAGCCATCCATAGGAGAGGCTTTTGCTTAGCAGTGCAACAATATAGGCTTATATAAAATTTATATTAAGTATATTGCGTAATGTATTACACTTAAATATTATACGCAGTAAAAGTCACAAGGGTAATAAAAGTTTAACAGTATATTAATTCGTTTGGTTAAAATATAGCACTTTTGATGACATAATTCAAAGCACAAGACACGGTACGATGTATAATCTAACTTTTAATACAATACATGTTGCATTAATAAGCGCGTCTTTATCATCAAAACCATAAAATAAATCAAAAAGCACTCCTCGTATCATTAACTACTACTCTTTAATAGAAGTATAAGGTTATGTTGTTGCCAAGCAACGGGATGAGGTAACTCTATGCACCATTTCAATGCACCATTTGTATTTTTTTTTATTTAATGGTTCAACATCACAATATCCAATCCCTGTTTGTAGATTACTTGCTATCATCGTTTTAATTTAGCGTTGTGAAATAGACTGTAAAACATCATATGCACCAAATTACACCTCTTACAACATTCGTCACTTTTCTACTGATCAATACTTTGTGGAAGGGTTGAAAACGTCAAATTATATGTATAACGCAACAGTGTTAAAACGTACCTGGTTGTACCAGCTTGTCATCGTCTTATCATTATAAACAAGAATTTATACACATAACTGATTGTAATAAACTAAATATGTTAAAATTGTATTATTTCACTAGGGTCACGGAATATCCGTGCCGGCGTGGAACGCCATGTTGGTTAGTGTTAGAAAGATTGTCCGCGACATCTATCGGCAAATTGCTCAAATGGGACGAAATACATGAAACATAATACATGAAACGGAACTTACAGTATTTTGATACAAAAAGTAGCATACAAATGTAGAGTAGGTATTGTATTTTTTTATTAAACAGGGAGATATTAAAATAGCTATCTTTATCGTACATAAAATAGTATTATGTTTTATAATATAAACATAACGTCTAATTAATACTAATCACAGAAATTTACGAATAGGTGGGTTTGGTTTTCAAACATAATTTTTGGATATAGATACACAAATAAATACAAATACCAAGTGGAAATTATTAATAAGTCCCAAAAGTCCCAGAAATTCTCAGTCTAAAAATTTGTCGGTACATGGTACATTTTATGAGTGAGTCAGATCCCAAAAAATTGTGAAGTCTAAAAATTTGTCGGTAGTTGGTACATTTTGTTAATGAAAGTCAGATCCCAAAAAATTATGAAAATTTAAATATTTGCCGGTACTTGTACATTTTTTGAATGAAAGTTAGATCCCAAAAAATTCTCAAGTTTAAAAATTGCCGGTATTTTTGCGCACACTGTAGCAAGTTCTGAAAATAGAGATAATCTGCACACACGCACTTGTCAAGGATATGGATAAGTATAAATATACACTATGTTGTTTTATCTATTATTAAAACAATAATTGAAGCGTGTGTCTGCAATATCGAAATATGTGGTTTCTATTAAGCTCAGGGATTTAAATGAGTGCTATTAAGACATGTATAACCATTTTAAAATTTTTGTCTTCGAAATAACTGAACCGATTGTGACGAAACCTCACGAACAGATAGAGAACAATACCAGAAGTGATGTATGCTATATTTTGGCCGAAAAATATTTATTATGAAATCATAAAACTGGTAAATTTAATGATTTTAATGATTAACTCATAAAATGTTATTAGAGATAAAAGAAAAGTTTCGAACACAACTTTTTTGGTTTGGAATTTTACACAAAAAATGTCTAAAGACTACATCTTCTATTTCTTAAATTAGCGATACAAAATATTTTTTCACATTTTTTTTTATTTCAATAACATTTTCCAACAAAATTGTGAAAAATATTGTGTTAAAGGGTAAGATGAAGGATCCAACTATCCATTTACAGTCTATAAATGTACACAGCTGAACATCCTCGCCATATATTGCCTATTGCAGTATTTTTGTCACGCTTAGCAGGCGAGTGAAGGATATTTTTATATATTATGTAACGCACATTGTTTTCGAGATAATTGAACTAACTTACCCAAAGCCAACTATTATAGACCACCAGTTTTTTTTTTTAAGTTTACCCGAACGAAATCGCGGGTAAAAGCTAGTCCATTATAAATTTATATACAAAGACTGTAGAAGACTTATACCAATTTTATATTTTTAAGATACTTTGAAAATGAGTTGGGGAAGGGGCCGCAATTTTTATTCTAACTCCCTCGCGGGACAGCTACCCATGCTACTTCACTGACGCTACTCCCCATCACCAGTCTGTATATTTTACGTCTGAAATATTTATATAAACATAGCCTTAATACGTTCCACAGCTGGGTACTGATTTTCTCTAATTTCTGAGAGGGTTATGGAGCGGAACAATTTCAGTGGTGCTAGCCGGATCCAAAATCGTGTTTCTCGCCTTTTAACATGATATAATATGATATTACACTTATTGACACTTATTGTACTTATAGCACTTGTGTTTGTCACTTCTATACTCTGCCCTATCTTATCTTAAATTGCATTATCCATTTCAAAAATCTGATTTCCTACAAAGAACGTACGATCAAACTTACGCTGAAATTAATTAAAAAATCACCATATCTTTATAAATAGAAGACAAACCATCACCATTGGTTGTCGGTAAAACAGTAAAGCGATAGGGGGCAAATGTTTTTTTTCTTTTTGACCAAAGGTCGTTAATCATTATAAATCTTCAACCTAATACTGATAAGGCTAAGATCTGCGGCTGTGAGTTTACACATTAACATGAATTAAAATAATGATACTAAAGGAAACCTAAAGACATAAGGGAAATTAAATGGAACTAGAGGAACGAAAGCAAAAAATGTGCTACTTAAATTCTTACTTGATCCCACAATATAAATGGAAACCGAACGAGCTGCTTACACGACGTTTTTGGCTGGCATGAACTTGATGACGAAGATCGGGCTAAATGGCAGCCCTTGAAAGAAGCCTGTATTTGACAATAGAATACTTAGTCTGATGAAGATGATGATGAATCAACCAAGCATAAAATCGTTTCGTTTGCGTCCCAAAACCCTATCATTTTGGTAGTTATCGCTCGTAATATACAGGATAGCTGATTGAGATGGGGCAATATGAATAAAATGTACGTGGTAGAGCCTCGATGTAGCAATATTATAGTTGTAGCACGAATGGGTCAGTTTGAGCGGGGAACAAACCACGCTCTCGCTAAATAAAATAAGTTGGCTGCCTCTAAACTCACCATACCAAACATCATATTTCTGATGAGTGTAGAGGACAGGAGACCCTTCTTACAGGTAACGGACCATTGTTTTTAAGTCCTAAGGTGTAATAATCCTTAATCGGTGATGACCAATAATATTTGAAAAAAAAAGTCTTACTTTAGCCAGAGCTCAAGTCTGCACATTTTGTAAAAGAAATAATATAATATGTTAGTTAGTAAGGGAGTGCTGTAACTGTACTACAATGGAGGGACTGGACTACATACAAAACCTGAATCTTAAAAAGAAGTTCAACATATTATTTACATATTGATTACAAACATTAAAAAGTTGATAAGGTATTAAATACAGATTTTTAATTGCATTTGAGTTGTTGTCAATCATTTTTTTTATAGAGTAAGGGTAACAAACGAGTACACAGTCCACCTGATGATAAGAAGATTCTGTAGCCCATAGACCTCCGGGTCTCCGGTTCTCTAAACTCACCATACGAAACAGCAGTATTAAGCTGCTATTTTACGCTGGTATTCTGTGAGAGCGTGGTCCTATCCCGGTCGAGCCCAACCATTCGTGCTGCAACGAAAATATAGCTGCAACATGGCTCTACCACGTAAAATCATCACATAATTAGGAATTAGCTAAATTCATGAAGCATTTTCATTGCCAGTCACTAGGGTCACAATTACCAGTGCGAGGCCCTGCGCTTACTAACTCGCCTGTTTGGCGTGAATAGGCAAAGAGACCAAGTAAAGCATACCAGCTGGCGTACTCTAGGAAAGCCTATATCCAACTGTGGACTTCAATTGTGATATAATAGACGTTCAGAACACTATATTCACGAATCTATAATTAGAAGAAAGTTTCTAGAAACAAAGGCGCATGCGTTTAAATGCGTGACGTATTATAACGTCATCAATCCGTGACGTCACTGTTACGAAGACACGCAGTAAACAATGACGTAGCAAGCGCGGGGAGAGGTTTGCCGGGTGCGATCGATATCCTTATGATGTTAATAATAACATTCGATGAAATCAGTGATGCTTAACTAATGATTGTACGGGAGTAGACGGCCTTATAATAAAACACGGGTCGGTGGTTCACGCGTAAGACCTGCTAACATTATTTGTATTAATTACATAGGTCAGGGGTTTA